ACTGGAAAATAAGGCACTGTAGGCCAAAAAAAAGGTCAGCCAGAAACCCACCAGAGCAATCTTCCAGGAATGTAGCTAGTGAGAAGTAAGGGGTTGTCTGAAGCCTGGCCATCCTCGTTAAGGTGAGAGAATTTAGCAGAAGAGTAGGGATACTGTGGAGGATTGGGGGTATTATGTACGTGTATATATTGGTGTGTAGGGAGAGGAAGAGAAGCCAAAGCATGAGTCTTACAGATAGAATAGATTTGTAATTTTTTTACAGTGCTCAATGAACAGAGCCTTTATATGGACCTGAAGTTAATGATTTTTTTTTCCCCACATTTAACAAAACTGTTCAAAGCCCAATTTTAATTCACTTCAACAGATATTTACCGGTACTACTCTATGCCAGGTACTGTGCTTGGTAATAAAAATGAATGAAACCCTGTCCTTCCCCCTTCAATTTTATAATTAGAACATGTTTAGCCTAAAATTTTATGCTATCCTCAACCACAATGAATAAAAATTAACAATTGATGGCTCATGACCCTGGGGAACTGCAAGAGTTCCTCAGCCACCGAAAATGAAATGAGATCAACTTTCTGAAGCAGGATAGTAGGTGGTACATATTAGGAAATTTTAACAAGTTGAAACAAAAGGAAATTCAATGAACCAAATATCCAAATTCCAAATTATTTCAGTTAATCCATTTTATGTAAATAGCTTAGGATATGTTTTTAATTTAAAAGTATAAAGATAAAATCCACACACTATTTCTGGAGCATTACAGACTCCAAATCTTAAGGAAGAACTACTTAACATTTTATTCTGTGCCTATGACCACTATATGTCTTAGATTTCCCCCAGGTAAGCTCTGAATCAAATATTCTATCCCTTTATCCCTGTAAACAGAATCCCAGAAATTGGAATCAAACCACAACTACCGTACGTACGGTACCCTGAAACCGCATACAATCCTTTTTCAGACCATCTATGCACCAGTTATTCTGCTTATTCCAGCTACTATATTTCCATCCCAGGGGTCTACAGAAGCAGCCTTAATACTTTTGCTGAGATACTGCTCATCCGAAAGGAAAAACTTACTTAAGGATACAGACAATGATATTGTTAGCAAAATTACACGAACCATTGTTTTCCTTCATATAACAATACTTCGTTAAAGAATTTGTTCTCAATTTGTTATCTTTGATTTCTGATCAATTGTTTGTAAACCTTGTAGGTTCTGCTTTAATCCTCTGACCGCTCTGCTTATTCAAAAATGGCCAGTTACTGATAACACCAAGGTCCAGGGTTTGATCCTTGTACCAGCCAGCCAAAAAAAAAAGCCCAGTCAGATGAACAGAGAACACCTCATAAAGAATTTTCATTAGAGCCCGGAGGAATCCCAGTGACCTACAACTAAATCTCAAAGTGGTCATTTAGGAGTCAGCAATATACTCTCTCTACATGTTCTCAAGAATTCCTGGAGAGCAGGATAAAAGTTAAGGCTCTCACAGATCTCACTTCAGTGACTTCAGGATGATTTCTGCACACTCACCATTTTACTAACTTCCCCAGCAACTACACATCGCTCCCAAGAGCCTTAGGACATCACTTTTCATTCAACAGTTCATTTTGAGCACCTAGTGCCAGTTACTATATTATAGACCAAGGACAGTTCACTGGGGAAGACAGACATTTAATTACATAATTGTGAAGGAAACAAATAGGATGAATCAGTAAATGGAGAGGGGGTTCCAACTTAAGTTGCTGAGGGAAGAATTTCATGAGGAGGTGATAAGATCTAAAGGTTGACAAGGAAAGTTATGCAAAAAACAGGGAGCAAAAATGTCCTAGGCAGAGGGAAAAGTATGTGCATGGCTCTGAGGCAAGGAGCACCATGTTGGGAAAATTTTAAAAGGATAATGTAGCTGTAGTATAGTCAACAACAGAGGGGAAATGTGGTTGGAAAATTTAGCAGGGGCCAGATCATGCAGAGCCTAGGGAGCTACCAAAAAGAGCAAGGAAGTAATATAATCCCAAATAATGTTTTTTGAAAATTATGCTGCTAGATTGGTGGAGGTTTAAGAATAGAAGCAAAGAAACAAATGAGGAAGCCATTACAGACATCTAAATAAGAGATGGTTGTAGCTCAGAAACGAGGACTTAGGAAACTTTTAAGTGACATCCCAGATTAAAAGATGAACACAAATTAGACAAAGAGGGGGAAGGGCACTTCAGGCAATTGAAAAATATGTGGAACGGCATTAGGTCCCAGGACAATAAGCCATTCCAACACCCGTAAACAGCCTGGTAGGGAAGCAGCAAAGCGTATGTGGCAAGAGTGAAAGCAGGAAGACCAATTGTTAAAAAACTACTGTAGTAATTCAAGCAAGCAAGTGTGGTGCCCTCAACTAAGCCAGTGGTGATAGGGAAGAGGAGGCAAGGCTGTTTCCACATGGTACTGTAAGTAGTATAAGAAACTGGCTGGATTTGGAAGACATGAGGGGAAGAGGAAAGAGGAACTTGGGATAACTAGTTTTCTGGCTTTGAGTGGGTAGAGTGCCATTCACTAAAACAGGGAGAACCAGGGCAGTGGGAAAGATAAGTTCAGATTTGTACATGCTGCCATCCTGAAAGAGCCAGCTAGTAGGCAGATGAATACATACATGGGGGTCTCCAGTTTAGAGGCTGAGGCTGTACATGTAGGTTTAGAATCCAGTGAACAAATGGTGGGTAAAGCTATGGGAAAGACTAAGATTCCAAGTACAAGTCGAGAAGAGCTTAGTTACTCCAGAACCCTGGGACACACTGACACAGAAGGGGCAAGTTAGAGCAGGGTTTCTCAGTAACAGCACTGATGTTTTAAGCTGGATAATTCAATTGTGAAGTGTTGTCTGGCACATTGTAGGATATTTAGCAGCATACTTGGACTCTTCCCACTACATGCTAGTAGGACACACTGAGTTGTGACAAGTGAGTCTCCAGACATTACCAAAAGTCCCCTGGCAGACAAAATCACCCCCCAGCTGAGAACCACTAAGAGTAAGATGAATCTCCAGGATGCTGACAAAAGGACGGTTATTGAATGAGCTTCCTTTTGTAAATTTTATTTGCAAATCACACATAAAATTTGTAACCTGCCCCCAGTATAGCGTTGTCACCATCGTGCCCAAGTACTTCTCCGTTATTAAAGTAGTAGTTAATGTTTTCCAAGAATTTATGATTTATCAGGCCCTAATCCCCACTTTGATCCTTATTAGTACGAACTGTTGTTATCTCATTAGTTGAGGAAACTGATGCAGAGGGCTTAAGTAACATGCCCAAAGTCACAGTAAGTGATCAAACCCAGATTGGAACCTGACTTTGGAGTCTGACTCCAAAGCCCGTGCTCTAAGGCAAAATTACTTAACCCCTAGTCCAGATGGCCTCCATTAGGCTACAAAAGCTGTGAGGAGCTGGTTTAGTCTTTTTCATCATATTTCTAGCATTTGGCTCATGCTTAGCAACAGGAGTTCAAATATTTGCTGAATGATTCTCACTTCAGATTTAATTCTTTGAAAGTATGCCTTATTCCCAACCCTGCATTGAAGTATTTGACACTGACAGTTTACAGACAGCAAATTAGGGCAACAAGGGGAAGAAAATGTCTTCCATTCAGGTCTGGCCAGGTAGTTCAGTTTGTTAGAACACAGTGTTGTGACACCTAGGGTCAAGAGTTCAGATCCCCTTACCAGCTAGTTGCCAAAAAATAAAAATCCCTTCTAATAAAAGAAAATGCCTTCCATTCTGACAGGAAAGAAGCAGTGTCTGACAGTGCATTGCTGGAAGTAACTTTTCAGAATTTTTTCCCCAAAATGGAGGCTCTGCCATCAACCACTTCATTCCCATTAGAGCAAAGTTATCCTCCTATTGTTTCCTTATCCAGTAAACCCCAGTTCCATAGAGGCCTCAGTGAGGTGGGTGAAGTGGAAACAAATTAATGGAATGGAGTATTTTTGCAAAATGAGCAAGTTGTAAATACTTTTTGATAGTATCATAAGCTCGTATTCATAGGGAAGTTTTCCATCAGGTAGGCTTTTTTAAAAGTTTAACCTCTAACCTATATTCAAAAATGATTTAGAAACTTGAACAGGTGCCAACTACCAGGTATACCTGCCTCAGCATATTTTTCCTCACTAGTCAGCCTTGGTACCTTAATGAAGGGATGGCTGATGTCCAGAAATTTCTGCTCAAATGCTGTGGAAGTCTCCCGCAAAGGGTAACAAGGCTAAGCCAGTGATGCCAAATACTATAATAGACGTTGCTAATGGATCGTGTATATTTTTCTGGGCTCAGATGTAGCCTCAGAATATTTATCTACTTAATATTTCAGGCAGCCATCATTCCCGAGAGATGAAATATTTTCTGTCATCTTTTCCTAAAGTCAACCTCAGGGGTACCCTGGGGGATATGGAATTTGGGGGATACATAAAGGGAGTGAGTAGAAAGAATTCTTCCCATGATGAACATCTACGTGTGCTGTTGTTCTACAAAATAGAATGGAGGTAAACCCATTAATGGGCTTTCTTCTGCTCTACATACACACTTGCACATCTAAATGTGCTTCTTGGAAGCTATAGAGGGAAGCTACAAAGCAATGAGTTGACAAAGTTCCCCACTCTGCAGGGAAATTTCAATGAAAGCATTCATGTAAAGCTCATACTTTATGGACCTCAGACACTTCTTACCTAGCATCATCCATAATGCTCTCTTCCAACCAGGGTCCCTAGGGAAAGCTTGATACAGCACATTATCAATAAATTCAAACATGGACTTGAGCTTTAAGGAACAGGGAGAAGAATATAATTCTGCTCCTAAAGTGCTGTCTCCTCCAGCGCCACTCACTTGTTTATAGCCGCTACTTAGCAACTGAGGATACCTTTGCAGGCTGGTCTTCAGTCTGTTTGCCATATTGACTTCTACCCAAATATTAAAACTTTTAAAAAATCAGTTAACTCACTTTTGCTTTGTTCTTTCAGCTCCTTTGAAGATTACGAAACAGATGAAACTGCCTCTCCCTCTGAATTTGGAAACAAAGGCAATAAAATAGTAACCTCAAGCCTTTCAGAAAAATGCGGAAAGCTTCAGTCAGTGGATGAAGAGTAGCTGCCAATGTCTACATGAAAGGAAGATATGTACTTTAAATGTTTTTCTTGTGAAGTGATGCTTTTTAAAGGCTTTGATTTCACCAAGTGTGTAACTGCACTAGGAACTTTAAAATGTTTTTAAGCAATAGGTCTGGATACACACTCAACTTAGGAGACTCCTCCAATTTGCATCACACTTCTTGCAGAGCTTTTCCTTGGAAGTGAATATAATGATGTACCATCACCTTCCAAAGTCTGTGAATCAGCACCCTACACCCCTGAATGTACCAAGGATCTCTTGGGGACAGTGCCAAGTGCAGTTCTCTGCACAGAAGCAGAAGTTGCCTCACTGCTGGCCGGTGTCCCTGAGGCCTCCAGGGCTCCTATGGAGCTGAGAAGAAACTTTCACTCGCAGAAAACTTGAGTCAAAAAATTCTGGAACTTGAAAAAGCAGTAAAGACCTCCAGAATTAATTTAGCCCTAGTAATAAAAGCACTGCCAAAACATCTCAGAGACTTCTTTTACTTATATGTGTAACTGCAGTTTAAAGACCTTGAACTTACCCGGTTTAGTGTAATTTCACAATGACCTGCAGAACTGCTAGTCACTTTACATCCTCAGGTATTGTAACCACTGGGCCTTCCAACTTTGCTGGCAAGCTCTGACAACCTCCCTATCCTGACTGTGGATCTTACATAAAATCTCAAGAAAAAAACTTTTTAAATGAAGACAAGTTACAGAATTTGACTCATACTTGAAAAAAACCTCTTTTTAACTTATCTAACATTTGTAGAAGTATTAGGTTAGTAATCTGTAAATTAGTTGATGCCCTGTCTTTACTTCCTACCAAAAGGCCTACTTGAAGACTTAAAGGAATATGAAAATCCTTACTAGACATATTCCTTTCTTCACTGATTATTTTTTTAACCACAGTCCTAAAAGTGTCAGAATAGTTTGCCTTTCCACCCCACTTGGTTCCTTTGCTGGTGTAAAGGCCAACCATTGAACTAATCAATGAAACCCTGGGCTACTGTAAGCAAAAAGTGTAGAAAGGAGAATTTAGGAAATGTACCATCAACTAGTACAGTAAGAAAATTAGTAATGCTAGCAATCCTGCCTGCCACAAGATCCTCCAGTTTCCTATTTTGTCTTCAGGATTAGAACTGATCTTTCATTTAACTGTTACAGAAAGTGGTAACTATTACAACTATCTAATAGTTCACACAGAAGAATTAAAAACTTAAAAGTGACTAAATTTTTAGGAAACACTATATGCAATAACTTAAACACACTGATAAATTATTAGGATTAATATTATTTATGTGATACCATGAAACTTACCACTGATCTCATCCAGCCTTTATCAGGGAACGAAAGCAACTATTTTTTATTTCATGTAAACAACAAAAAAGGTAATACTTTTCTTAGAAGCCAGATATGGTTTTTATGTTTTCTTGGGTTTTGGGGGGGTTTTCTGGTGGTACGGGGATCTGAACCTTTGACCTTGGTGTTACCAGCACTACCTTTCTGCCAATAAAGATAACAAACCAGCCTGAAGCCAGATATGGTTTAAAGGTTTTTACCGTCTGTGCATAATGCTCTAAACTATTTCTAAAACACACCAAAAAGTAAAAATAAAATTAAATTTTACAACATACTTTCTTTTAAACTGTTTGGCTTCACCTTACCTTACTTCTCCTGATTAAAGTCCTCTTTCACTTTGATCAATATTTGGTTTTTAAACTTGGTAATTATTATAAATGTACAGCTATCAATACCATTCAAGATAGGCTACTTTAATTTAGGTTATCCAAATTATCACATTTTCATGAATTATAAGAACATGTTTCACTGTACTCCTTTCTTAGAGCTGAATGCAAGGAATGTGAATTCTGAGGAACTACGATAGTATATATTTGACTTTGTGGTAAAGACCATGCTAAAATCATTAGTGCCAAAACGGAAATTTCGAGTTGTTACAATAGCCTAGCTCCCTTGATAAAAGTTGAGGGTTATCATGATCTTAATGGTATTCAATGAGAAATGACTTTCACAGCATAACATTAATTGCCAAGGTAATCAAACTAATAAAATAAAATTCTGCATATTTTTCCCGCATCTTATCTATGTGTACTGCTCAAAGTGTTTATAAAACTCTACATTGATCAAATGAGATGTCATTTGCTCCGCTTTTGGAAATGTTAATGTGTTTTTGAGTGGAGAAGGCTGCATGATTTAACTTTTGTTTTTCCTTTTTCGCAAAACTAAATAAAGCTGTCAAATACGAATCATGTTCATTAAGTTAATCACTACACACTTTTGCTTTTAATCATACTTGCAACTCATTTTTATGTCTGAAAGAGTAACACTGAAAACAAGATTGAGTTTCAAAGAGAAGAAGAACTCTTTGAACCCCTGAGAAAACCATAAAGACAGGTCTGGAAGGGTAATATCTCATACTGAGAAGTGATCTCCTCTGGGGATAAGGAGGAGGACCAGGGTTTGGGAGTGAGAGGTTCACAGGGATCAGAGGGAACTTTAACTTCAGCCTTACTTATAACGTATTATTTTAAAAGAATGTACTACTGTGTGTTATTGGGTACCTAAGATTTAATTTTTTAAAAGGAGGGAGAAAAGTATAAAATACCACCCAAATGTTAGATACAGACACTATACTCTAAACAGTATTTTCTAAATCATTTTGTACTTGTTACCTATGATATGGGAAAGAACAATTTTCTTTCTCATCTGACCGTCATATAACTTACTTTTCTTCAGCAAGGTCACCAAGGAATTGTTTTTAAAAATTAAGAACACAATGAAACAAAAGGGATTCTTTATCCTAGGACCATACTACTTGCAATGCATGAAATGTCAATTTAATAAAGCTAATCAAAAAGATAAATTGTCATCTCTAAAACTATAACCTATGGTAAAAGATCATTTGATCATTTATATTAATAACAAAGACTAATAACACTAAAGGTGTGCCATATTATAATGCTGTTATTGTTTTGGTGGTTTCAAATCCTCATGAAATAAATCTAATTACTCAGTAATCTCTCCATCAACCTAGTCAGACGTTGATCAGCATTACTAAATAGCTCATGGTATAAAGAAAAACAATGTAAAAATCAAAGCATTGTAATTAATTATTCTTCCCCAAATATATATAATACAGACCATTCAGAGCATGCTATCCCAAACTCCTCAGTATTCTACAACATAGAATTAGAAAACTATCATTTATTGATAGATTTAAGGTGTAATACAGGTTTCCAAAAATGTGGCAGTGAGAATACCAGCATAAAAAAGAGAAACTTGTGCTAAAAACAACCTGAATTCATCATTGGCAATATTACATAACAATCAAATCCCTCACATACTAATGATTTCCACTTTGTCTATATTGCCAACCTCCCATGCATCAAAAAACACAAAACTAAGATCATCAAACTTGGGAAGCAATAAAGTACTCTTATGAATTTTAAGATCATAATATTAGGAAAACTGGGGAGATTTGCAAAATATATCCTAATCATCCATGTGTACAATCTCATTTCTAGTCATTTTTGCAGTATCATTAGTGAATAAAGAACAGATTTACAAGTTTATATAGCAGGGCATCTGGGTTCAACACAAAACTGTTACAAACTTTGGGTAAATACATGTTTCATAAGACATTGCTAACATGTAAAAGAATCAAATAAATTCCAAAATTTGGAAAGCAAATAAAGACAAGACAACTAAGAAGCATTTTCCACCATTTACTCTTGTTATCAAAAATAGTTCAACTCTTCTTGCAAAACAAAAACAAAATAGTACATACTGGACACATACATCACATTTTTCTTCCTATGGCTTTAGCCCACCCCCACCCCACCAAAAGAGACCAAAAAAAACCAAAAAAACAAAAAAACAACAACAGAAACAACTCTACCTGACCACATTCACAGAAAATGACACCAGGATATACTATAAAACAGGAGGTGTCATCTGCTCTGTGTCCAAAGGTTTCTTCTCCATGTCTTGTACTAGGCGAGTAACCATCATTGACCATGCTGTGTGCCAAATCAAAACATAACTTCAACATACGTCAGATCTCACTAGAGATGGTGAACGTAGTAGAAATTGGGAATTTTCCAGCAGTATTTTTCTTTAAATAAGCACTGTCAAAGCAGCAACTCTTCTTTTAAATCATAAGGTTATTTCTTTACACCTAGTCAGTCCTTATTTTATTTGGGCTGTGCTCTTTCACGCAACTGACTAGACTTCCCTTCAACAGAATGTTTATGGCTCACTTGTCTTCCCTATAAAAGTTAAAGGGAAGAAGTTCATTTAAACTGAAACAGTTTGTGCTTTACATGCAAAAGAGCTTTCTAAAGAAAATCCTCCTAGCTTCAAACCTACCTAAATGCACAGGCTTCATAAAAAGGCATTTTTATTAGGCCTCTATAAAGATGCCCTCATAATGAATAGCACCCAAAAAAAAAAAAAAAAAGAAAGAAAGAAAGCATATGTGGCAAATAAACTATTAGAAGAAACAAAAATCAAAGTGGCCGATGGCAATAAGTATAATGCAGAAATCTGGATATGTTTGGGGGCATTATTCCAAAATTATTTTGAATAAATCCCAATTTCTAAATAAAATCTTTTTGTATTTTTTTTTTAATTCTGTCACATACTATGTAGTCTAAATTCAATTACCTTCAGAATAAAACTGCTCTTCTCCACTTCATTTATCCAATTAGAACATTGCTCGAAGTGAAGGAAGGATTTAGAATTCTTTCCCTTTTTAAAAGGGGCTCAACTCAGCACAGTTTTGTAGCATAAACAGCTAAACATTTGCAGTCTGACAGAATTTCAGTTTGTTCACTTTTTTAAAATACAGGTTTCTTAAAACATTCTAATGAGGGATAATTTTTCTTTCATAATACTGCTGATTAAAGAACTGCTACATACACCAGTAGCCAATTTTCATGATCAGAAATGGTATTGTGTCAGCACAAAGGTTGAGCAGGACACATCAGCTTTTCAACAGGAGAAACATCAATGGCCTCTGAAGACAGCAATGAGTCTCCTGAACAAACTAATGGCTACTTTTCCACAAAAAATTAGCGTACTCTTTATGGACCGACTAGATACCACTTCATTACATTTAATCATAAACTTTGATTATGCACAAAGCATGACCATAAACAATGAGGTTAATGTTATTTTCCTTGCCAAAGTTCATTTTGTATAAATCAGTTGCATCAGCATTTGTTCTCAAACTATGAGGTTCTGTAAGAACTAAGGACATAAAGTTGTAGGGTTACTCCTCCATTATCTGCAAACTATTTCCCCGACACTAACACATATAACTTAGCAATGAAAACACTTGATACAAGTGATCTATATGCAGGAGCTCCGGCAAGTTAAACCAACAGAACCATAGCTGCCGTAAAACTGTAGCTATTTCCCTACCAGAGGTAGGTTTAAAGACCCACTGATTTAACAGTCGAATCTCATGTCTATAGCTTCATCCAAACTTTTATCATCATGTGTACTGGCAGCTAAAAACGTCGTTACTGGGGACCCTGTGACATTAATTACACTGGTGCTGGTACTAGCGTTACGCACAGCAATGCTAGTCACATTAATGCCCAAAGTGAGCCTGGTCTGCTCCAAGGCCTTTTCTGGCACAGCAAATGCCTCCAGCTTCTTCTCCCCATTGGCCATATAGGAGTTTTGGCAGCCACGACATATACAATCTAAGCAGGCTTTGCGGTTAGAGTAGCAAGGACAGCGTTGGCCTCGGCATGTAAGAACACTTGGATTTTGAGTAGCACGCCCACATTTACACCCTTTCTTTTCCTGGGGTTTTTTGTACACAGTCTTGGTGGGACTTCCTGGCATAAAATGATGACTAGGAATCTTTTCCTTTACTGCTTTGTCTTTTTTTAGAATACCTGGCTTGGTTTTAGAATGAGATTTCTTGGATCCATGTTCATGACTCTTCTTCATGCTTTTAGTAGACAAAAGTACAGTTTTGCTGATTTTGGGTGTCGTGCCTCCATTGGGAACAGTTGCTATAGGCTGAAGAGAAATTTTACTCTCCCGTTTCACTGTTACAGGAGCAGATGCCCCCAAGGTTGGGCCTCGGATAATGGTAGAAATTGGAAGTGGCTGAACTTTCTCACTGTCACTTTCTGATCTGGATCGTTTTCTATTCAATTTTGCTACCTTTGGAGTTGCTGCTGTACATGATAACCCATGAAGTGCAGGACTGGTAGACATAAAAACATTATGGCTAAGAGACTGGGAAGAAAGCTGCAGAAAAGGTCCATTGGATACAGTAGCTTCCAAGTTCGGTGGCAAATTTGGGCAACAAACCTCTGTATTTGAAACAGTTTCTAAGCTGCGAAGTACTTCCTCAACACTCAGTAACAGAGAGTCACCAGGTTTCATATCTTCACTGAAACTGCAGATATCAATGCCTGTGGAGCATAAGTCAGTGGCTACTGTGTCACACACAGGTGGCAGGCTGTCAGACAGATCCTCAGTTTTTACGTCAACAGTGTTACATACATCAATTGTATTTGAATGTTCAGGTGAAGGAATATTTATACCAAATCTATCTATTGAAAGCCCATTATAAGTAGGCAAACCATTGATAACAGAACTGCCAATAGCAATGCTAAGGGTGCTTTCAGACATTGGCGATAAACTACCTTGAGGATCAGTCGTGGGTTCTGAGGTTGAAGGTAAAGGGGAATGTGTCAAACACAAAGTAAATGATGAATCTGAGGGTTTTTCTGTCTCCTCACAAAACAATGATCCATCATTAAGCAAAGCCAAAATATCAGAAGAACAGTCGACTGCTTCGATTATATCCCGTGCCAATGTAGTCTGTGTTATATATTCGCACAGTTTTTTGTAGCAGTTCACTAGGATGCTTAACTGTTTGTTTTCTTCAAACTGCTCATAGTCTTTGCACCAGCTACATGAAGGTTTCATCATCATTTTCTTGCCTTTACAAGTTTTGCAGACATAATGTTGGCAGGTGGAGTTCGTAGGTGCAATAGGATCTTGTAGCAAATGTCCTAAAGGGGGAAAAGGAGGAAAGCAAACACTTTAGTAAAATCAATTTATGGTTTCATATACTGAAGTTAAGGTGACATTATAAGTAACCTATCAAAATTGAGTTAAGTTCACTAGACCAAATAAAAAATACCTTGTGAGAAACCAAAAAAGACTTAACAGCTCACTTCACTTCCATGCCATACTTCCCATTCCTTTATCTCAAATGAGAATCTTCCTTAATTCTATGTATCTCCCCCAAACAGTATGTTCTGGTCCACCTTTTTATCCTCTTCTCCAATGGCTATAAAGTTAAAGAAGTGAAGATCAGACACCAAAAGCACAAACTAGGGCATAATAAAAACCCTTGGGACCTCAGCATAAGGCAACGCTGTAATGCTAAAACACACTGTAACATCACAATGATTATTTTGTGTTGGATGCTGGGAAGAAGATATAAAAGAGACTTACTTATGAGTCCCTGTCCTCATAAAAGATAGTCTTGAGGGTGTTAATTAATCAGTATGCAAAGGCATCTTCACAGAAAAAATTATAATTTCAACCAGTTTTTGTTGTATATACACTAATCATAAATGTTAAGGAAAAGATAAAAATGTAATTACAATGTAAAAGAATTATGTTCATTTATTAGAAAATAAAGAAAAAAATACTACTAAACTCAAATTCTTCCATAAAAAAATCAAAATTGGAACGAGAATTATATTTAAACTTTAAAAAAAAAAAAAAAAAAGGGCAAAACCCTGGGCC